TCATTCTTCACAAACTTTCAAAATAATGCTAAAACCTAAAAGTAGTTTGTTTAAAAAATGTTATGGATTCTTAAATAAATGCATGTATGAAGTAACGTATCTTATGATGAATTGGGTAAAGTAATAATTAAAGATTTCTTGTTCATTTGTTTATATCTTTTACTAAAAAAGTAGTTTAAATTATTTCAAAAACAATGCCAGTGTTAATATATTTGGAAGTATTGTGGAACACGTCAGTAAATTTAAGTAAATTCAACAAAATTTAAATTATTTCAAATTTGTAATAACCATTTGAAGATTAGGAGCAAGGGGTAAGCTGTCTCGGTTTTTCAGTTTGGAAATCTTGTCACCCATATATAAAATAACTTATAATACTGAAAACATTTTCGAAATCTGTGGTATTTAATACGTTTGTAATAGGTTTTCATTTGTAACAAAGTTCTTAATTATTGAACACAATTTCTACAATTTTGTCGAATACTGTGCTCCGACCCCAAAACTTTAATTGGATCATGTCTATTTCTGTCCAATTTAGGCTCCCTCTAAATGATTTCACATAGATAAATAATTATCGATGGAAGAAAAAAAAATGTCTATTCTAGTTAACTCTAAACAAATATGTTAAAAGCGCACACCATTAAGGCAGAAGTCGAAAGATTTAAAGTCTAGCTTTATGCTGATTCTTTTCGATCGTCCGCCATTTAAAAAATAAAAATCCGTGCATTTCCGAGTTGTTCGATACCTTCGGTTTCAAAAGACTTACCATTTGTAGGTTTTTCGTTAAAAGTGGCTTCATATATCGATTTCTTGTTAGCGTTATTATCAAAGCAGACACGCTAATCTCAGATAAAGCCTACTGGTATTTTGTCTCCGGGTTCCAGCACCCCTCTAATATTTTCTCAAAGGATCTAAGAAAAAAAAACTTTTAGGGATGAAAGATTTGAAAACAGAAATGGCGGTAAATTCTCATCCTTGATAATACAGCTATGTATCATTCAGAACACCAGTCCCGATCTTGGAGTTCACTGCTTTAATCAGATATTATTATGTAAAAAAATATGCTTATGTAGTTATAGTACGGCTGCTTAACGTTTACTACAAAGTCTACATTCCTCTGACGAAGCATCAGAATTTTTTTGCGTTCGGGCCTGAATGTTATGCCTAAACCGAATAATTTGCTTACTCCTCTCATCTGGACATTAAACAAATCTTGAAAATTAAATACGAAGTTTTAAATGCAAATAAATATAAGCAAGGCGACATCAGTTTTTCTTCACGGAGTAAAACCCGTCAATAAAATATGTGATACGATATTACACGCTATTAATGGTTTGTTTAGCAATACTGTCTTAAACCCTTTTGTGTCTGGAAGTAGTTGTGCGTGAAGCAAAAGATACATGTTTACAGATTATTTTAAACCCTTTTTTTACAGGATTTAATAAACATGCAAAGGTGCAACCAAATTTATAAACAAGGCAAAGCAATTTTTCAAACTGACATGAAAATAAGGAGATATTTTAAACTGAATTTATAGAGAAATGAACATTTAACACCCAAATATTCATCGACCGAAAAGCCAAAAAAATGTATTCTGTAAAGAATGTTTAACCGGTAACACAGCTGTTACGTCTCTGTTCGTTTGTTAATTTTCCGTAAAAATTCTTTCCGAAGAAACTCTAGCGATACAAGTCCTTTCTTAAATAAAACTAGTGTATTCTTTCTCAATACAACTTTGCAATATACTTAATTTACACAGTCACGCTATAAC